GGGGTCCCAGAAGGAGGAGAGAGAGAGAGAAAAGACCCGAGAAAATATTTGAAGAGATTATAGTTGAAAACTTCCCAAACATGGGAAAAGAAATAGCCACACAAGTCCAGGAAGCACAGAGAGTCCCAGACAGGATAAAACCAAGGAGAAACATGCCAAGACACATAGTAATCAAAATGATTAAATTAAAGCCGAAGAAAAGTTATTAAAACAAGGGAAAATGACAAATAACATACAAGGGAACTCCCAAAAGGTTAACAGCTGATTTCTCAGAAGAAACTCTACAAGCCAGAAGGGACTGGCATGACATATTTAAAGTGATGAAAGAAAGAACCTACAACCAATATGACTCTACCTGGCAAGGATCTCATTCAGATTTGATGGAGAAGTCAAAAGCTTTACAGACAAGCAAAATCTAAGAGAATTTGGCACCACCAAACCAGCTCTACAACAAGTACTAAAGGAACTTCTCTAAGTGAGAAATGCAAAAGAAGAAAAGGACAAAAACAAACCCAAAACAATTAAGAAAATGGTAATAGAAATATATTAATAATTACCTTAAATGTGAATGGATTAAATGTTCCAACCAAAAGACACAAACTCGCTGAATGGATACAAAAAGAAGACCGATATACATGCTGTCTACAACAGAATCACTTCAGACCCAGGGACACATACAGACTGAAAATGAGGGGATGGAAAAAGATATTCCATGCAAATGGAAATCAAAAGAAAGCTGGAGTAGCAATACTCATATCAGACAAAATAGATTTTAAAATAAAGAATGTTACAAGAAACAAGGAAGGACACTACATAATGAGCAGCTGATCAATCCAAGAAGAAGATATAACAATTATAAATATATATGCACCCAATATAAGAGCAACTTAATACATAAGGCAAATGCTAACATGTATAAAAGAGGAAATCGACAGTAACACAATAATAGAGGGGGGGGGGTCTTCCCTGGTGGTGCAGTGGTTGAGAGCCCACCTGCCAATGCAGGGGACACAGGTTTGTGCCCCTGTCCAGGAGGATCCCACATGACGTGGAGAGGCTGGGTCCGTGAGCCATGGCCGCTGAGCCTGCACATCCGGAGCCTGTGCTCCGCAACAGAAGAGGCCACAGCAGTGAGAGGCCTGCATACCGCAAAATAATAATAATAATAATAATAATAATAATAATAGAGGGGGACTTTAACACCTCACTTACACCAATGGACATGTCATACAGGCAGAAAATTAATAAGGAAACACAAGCTTTAAATGACATAATAGACCAGATAGATTTCATTGATATTTATAGGGTATTCCAGCCAAAACAGCAGATTATACATTCTTCTAAAGTGCAAATGGAACATTCTTCAGAATAGATCACATCTTGGGTCACACATCAAGCCTTGGTAAATGTAAGAAAACTGAAATCAAATAAAGCATCTTTTCTGACCACAACGCTATGAGATTAGAAGTAAATTACAGAGAAATAAATGTAAAAAACACAGAGAGATGGAGGCTAAACAATACATTACTAAATAACCAAGATATCACTGAATAAATCAAAGAAGAAGTCAAAAAATACCTAGAGACAAATGACAATGAAAACACGATGATCAAAAATCAATGGGATGCAGCAAAAACAGTTCTAAGAGGGAAGTTTATAGCAATACAATCCTACCTCAAGAAACAATATCTCAAATAAACAAACTAAACTTACACCTAAAGCAATTAGAGATAGAAGAACAAAACCCCCCAAAATTAGCAGAAGGAAGGAAATCATAAAGATCAGATCAAAAATAAATGAAAAAGAAATGAAGGAAACAATAGCAAAGATCAATAAAACTAAAACATGGTTCTTTGAAAGATAAACAAAATTGATAAACCTTTAGCCAGACTCATCAAGAAAATGAGGGAAAGGACTCAAACTAATAAAATTAGAAATGAAAAAGGAGAAGTTACAACAGACACTGCAGAAATACAAAGCATCATAAGTGACTACTACAAGAAATTCTATGAGAATAAAATGGACAACCTGGAAGAAATGGACAAATTCTTAGAAAGGTATAACCTTCCAAGACTGAACCAGGAAGAAATAGAAAATATGAACAGACCAATCACAAGTAATGAAATTTAAAGTGTGATTAAAAATCTTCAAACAAGCAAAAGTCGAGGACCAGATGGCTTCACGGTTGAATTCTATCAAACATTTAGAGAAGACCTAACACCCATCCTTCTCAAACTCTTCCAAAAAACTGCAGAGGAAGGAACACTCCCAAACTCATTCCAAGGCCACCATCACCCTGATACCAAAACCAGACAGAGATACTACAAAAAAAGAAAATTACAGACCAATATCACTGATGAATATATATGCAAAAATCCTCAACAAAATACTGGCAAACAGAATCCAACAACACATTAAAAGGATCATACACCATGAGGAAGTGGAATTTATCCCAGGGATGCAAGGATTCTTCAATATATGCATATCAATCAATGTAACACACCATATTAACAAATTGAAGAATAAAAACCATTTGATCGGGCTTCCCTGGTGGCGCAGTGGTTGAGAGTCTGCCTGCCGATGCAGGGGACACGGATTCATGCACCAGTCCAGGAATATCCCACATGCTGTGGAGCGGCTGGGCCCGTGAGCTATGGCCACTGAGCCTGCACATCTGGAGCCTGTGCTCCACAAAGGGAGAGGCCACAACAGTGAGAGGCCCGCGTACCGCAAAAAAAACAAAAAAACAAAAAAACCCCCAAAACTTTCCAGAAAGTGGGCATAGAGGGAACGTACCTCAACATAATATAGGCCATGAAAAACCTACAGCAAACAGCACTCTCAGTGGTGAAAAATTGAAAGCATGTCCTCCGTGATCAGGAAAAAGACAAGGATGTCAAGTCCCACAACTATTATTCAACATAGTTTTAGAATTTCTAGCCAGGGCAATCAAAAAGGAAAAGGAATAAAGGGAATACAAATTGGAAAAGAAGAAGTAAAACTGTCACTGTTTTCAGATGACATGATACTATATATAGAGAATCCTAAAGTTGCCACCAGATAATTACTAGAGCTAATCAATGAATTTGGTACAGTTGCAGAATAAAAAATTAATTCACAGAAATCTCTTGTCTTCCTATAAACAAACAACGAAAGATCAGGAAGAGAAATTAAGGAAACAATCCCATTCACCATTGCAACAAAAAGAATACCTAGGAATAAACCTACTTAAGGAGGTAAAAGACCTGTACTCAGAAAACTATAAGACACTGATGAAAGAAATCAAAGATGACACAAACAGGTGGAGAGATATACCATGTTCTTGGATTCAAAGAATCAATATTGTGAAAATGACTATACTACCCAAAGCAATCTACAGATTCAATGCAATCCCTATCAAATTACCAATAGCATTTTTTGCAGAACTAAAACAAAAGATCTTAAAATTTGTATGGAAACACAAAAGACCCTGAGTAGCCAAAGTAATCTTGAGGGAAGAAAATGGAGCTGGAGGAATCAGACTCCCTGACTTCAGACTATACAACAAAGCTACAGTAATCAAGACAATATGGTATAGGCACAAAAACAGACATATAGATCAATGGAACAGGATAGAAAGTCCAGAGATAAACCCACGCACCTATGGTCAACTAATCTATGACAAAAGAGGCAAGTATATACAATGGAGAAAAGACAGCCTCTTCAATAAGTGGTGCTGGGAAAACTGGACAGCTACATGTAAAAGAATGAAATTAGAACAGTCCTTAACACCATACACAAAAATAAAATCAAAATGGGTTAAAGACCTAAATGTAAGACCGGACACTATAAAATTCTTAGAGGAAAACATAGGAAGAACACTCTTGGACATAAATCACAGCAAGATCTTTTTTGACACACCTCCTAAAGTAATGAAAATAAAATTTAAAAAAAAACAACAACAAATGGGACCTAATGAAACAAACGCTTTTGCACAGCAAAGGAAACTATAAACAAGATGAAAAGAGAACCGCCAGAATGGGAGAAAATATTTGCAAACAAATCAGCGGACAAAGGATTAATCTCCAAAATATATAAACAGCTCACGCAGCTCAATATTACAAAAACAAACAACCCAATCAAAAAATGGGCAGAAGACCTAACTTGACATCTCTGCAAAGAAGACATACAGATGACCAAGAGGCACATGAAAAGCTGCTCAACATCACTAGTTATTACAGAAGTGCAAATCAAAACTACAGTGACTTATCACCTCAAACCGGTTAGAATGGGCATCTTCAGAATATCTACAAACATCAAACGCTGGAGAGGGTGTAGAGAAATGGGAACCTTCTTGCACTGTTGGTGGGAATGTAAAGTGATACAGCCACTGTGGAGAACAATGAGGCAGTTCCTTAAAAAACTAAAAATAGAATTACCATATGACTCAGCAATCCTACTACTGGGCATATACCCGGAGAAAACCATAATTGAAAAAGACACATGCACCCCAATATTCATTGCAGCACTATTTACAATAGCCAGGTCAAATATTACTCAGCCATAAAAAGGAATGAAATTTGATCATTTCTAGAGACGTGGATGGACCTAGAGACTGTCATACAGAGTGAAGTAAGTCAGAAAGTGAAAAACAAATATCGTATATTAACGCATGTATATGGAATCTAGAAAAATGGTACAGATGAAGTGGTTTGCAAGGCAGTAACAGAGACACAGATATAGAGAACAAATTTATGGACACCAAGGGGGGAAAGCAGGGTGGGGTGGTGGTGGTGGCGGGATGAATTTGGAGATTGGGATTGACATATATACACTCATATGTATAAAATAGATAACTAATAAGAACCTGCTGTATAAAAAAATAAATAAAATTAAGTTTAAAATAACCTTATTTGTTGCTCTTTTATTTTTTACAGAAGAGAAAAGTAAGGGTCAGAGAAATTAAATTACTTACTCATATAGGGCTGGCAAGAAGCACTCTTTCTATTCAAAATGATTATTGCTAATACTCAAATATACATTTTCATCTGGCACCCCAAATGTAACATGTCACAAGATATTAAATCTAGAGATACAACATAAATATACAATAATTGAATTAATTAAGTACCAAACTATAAAACATTAACAAAACAAATATTAAAAGTCGTCCATTTCTGTAGCCTTTCTTTATAGCATTTTTGGCTCTAATGGATTTACTTGATTTCATAGGGCATGTCTATTCCTCTCTTGCTTTTTTTCACCCCAAAAGTTAGTATAATGTTTTCCAGTAATGGATTAGGTAAGTATTAAAATATTGAGCAAATGAAAAAGAAATGAATGACTGAATAGATATTCAAAGCTATGTAGAACAAATCCTCAAATATTCAAGGTTGTCTTTGATTTCTATAAATTTATCTTTAAGGGGTTAGACTGATGTCAAATTTCAAGTTATATTTAAAATTGTTACATCACAGTATTCTAATTACATTCATATTTGATCTAAAAAAATTAAATGAGTACCCAGGATTACTTTTTAATCTTCTTCCTATTTCATGAGCACAGCTGTTATTGTGTTTAATTGCATATCTGTTCAGTGTTCCTTATTCAGTAGACTGAACACGGAATGCGTGGATGGTTCCAAAGCATGTTGCATTTCTCATATCTCCCTTTGATTATAATCCCCAGGGGCAATTATAAGGAACAGTATAACACTGTTTGAAAGAAGAAATTTTATCTGAGACAAAATGATGAGTAAAATGTATTTTCAAATGAGTAAAATAATTGAATAATGGTTAATAGAGCATGTAGAATGCATTTGAAGTTTTGTTAATATGTTCACATTGATTTGACTACCATTTTTCCTGGCTTTAGAAAATCCTTCTGGAAAACCAATTGATGTAAGATAATAGATAAATACAAAAACATCAACAGAGTGCTGCTTTGTAATATAATCATAAAATTAGAATTTTTGAAATTTAGAAAAGCTTACCCACACAAATTTGGTTGAATACGTTCATTACTGCAAAGAACATTTTGCACAAAAATATTTGAATCAGTCTGTATTCCATAAAGACACAGTTTACTAAATTATACTAATTGTGTGGTAATTTTTAATGAATCCAATAGAGATACAAGCAACTTTTACTCCTTTTATTTCTAGAAATCACATTTTTTCCCTATGCTTCAAAGATAGCTGAAGTGCCTTAGAATGGTAGAAAGAAATTCTATTATCAGTACATAGTATGGATGTAAATTTCTACATTTTTTTTCTGCGAATATAACTATCTGGTGATGAGAAACTTATAACTGCCTGCCACTTCCTTTGTGAACATTTTAAAAATTGGGTTCTCTGTAACTTCTCAAAAGAGCCTTTGAAGTTCTTTCCAAAAACAGAAAGAACAAGGAACATATAATCATTTTAAGATGAAAGGAGAAGAAAGATGTAAATTGCTTAGTAAATTTTTGTATACATATATACAAACATTTTTATGTATGTACATTCGCATTGTACTAGCTTGACTCAGGTAAGAAGCAACAGTAATATGTTTAGCTTATCTCTACTGGTGTGGGCATTTTACTGTACAACTGTGCATAAGAGAAATAAAATGCTTTAACAAATAAAATGAAAGCACCAAGGTCAAGTGAAATGTCATGTATGATAGCATATCAGGTCTAACATCACCAAAATAATTCATGACTCAAGTCATGCAAATTGGTTGCTGTGGTGTCCACTGCATCTGTTTCTCATATTTCTACTTTCTTTTTTCTATTTTACCTTTACCCTTACACTTCTCTTTATTCTTGGTTTTTATTGTGAAATGGATTATTCTGAATACTTTCTCTATGTATCACTTGGATTTTGCTCCACTCAACTGCCTGCAAAAATCCCTTGTCGGGCTTCCCTGGTGGCGCAGTGGTTGAGAGTCCGCCTGCCGATGCAGGGGACACGGGTTCGTGCCCCGGTCCAGGAATATCCCACATGCTGCGGAGCGGCTGGGCCCGTGAGCCATGGCCGCTGAGCCTGCGCGTCCGGAGCCTGTGCTCCACAGCGGGAGAGAAAAAAAAAAAGAGAGACCCCACAAAAACAAAAAAAAAAAAAAAAAAAAAAAAAAATCCCTTGTCTATCTCATGTTAACCAAGTCCCAAAAAGAGATTTGATTGGGTAGGTTAACAGAGTGTCTAAATCAGTGTTCCTCATAAAGCCACTGGCCTCCCTTATATTCAATGTAACTTTTGGTCAGTCGACAATCTATAGCGCAATCAGGTCTGAGGAAATCCTTCTGGTCATCAGACCCAAGGCATGGCAACCTACATACATGGAACTATGTCTGGGCACTTGACACAAAAGGGAGCTATGGGTGGGATGAGAACTCAGAGGGTCATTCACCTTACAGTACTCACACAAAATCTACTTTTAATAAGAAAATTATGAATAATTCTAAAATGGATATGTGAACAGGTACGTGAACGTATATAAAAAAGTATATATTATATGAACATTTATTTATGCATTTGAGGTAATGACAATTGTTGATGACGTGTATTTGCATTTGATAAATTGATAGCACTACGTATTTGATGGATAAATAGATGATATAACAAAGGATAAAATATCAGTGTTCTCTTTAAAAAATTTTTATGTGCTAATTAATATTCTATACTAACCTATATCTAATTATCTTCAACAGAGTTCTTAGAAATTTGAATCTGAGGTAATTTTTTTTCCTGAGGGTGTGTACATTAATTTAATTTATTTACTAACTTGTTTCAAAAGTCATCACCACATTGATTAGTCTCTATGGTGAAACGTGTGATGCTTTATGTGCAGAAGGATAATATATTGCTTTTTAAATTAAAGTTTACATTTCTATGAGTATCTGAAAATATTTCCACAAATACACTATCAAGGGAAAAATAAATTCTTAACAATTCTAATAAGGAATTCTTAACAATTCCTTATTAGAGAATGTTGTCTGTATTATTCACCTTTATAAGCTGTATGCCCCTCTGTTCTACCTGCCCCAATACATTTTTTTTAAATAAGATTAATCACTACAATTTACACAATTGAGCAAATCAACAATGATATTGATCCAACTTTTCAAAAACATTGTCTACTACTGAATCAACTAGGATTTATTTAAGCTACCTGTTTAAAATGTCCCAGACATTGGTTAGTAAATAGCTTACTAGTCCTGACTTTGGTGTTTTCTCTTTAGTTTCCATGATAGCAGATGTAGAAATGTTACCTATTCTGTTTGCCTTATTTGTAAATACTTAGAAGCACAAATGATCACTGTATTTGCTATTATTTTTATAAAACATACGTTAAGGCAGCTATATTACACTAATAATGGCTTCTATTTAAAGCATAACACTGAACTCGATGCTGTTGTTAATCATGCCACATGAATTTTTTAAAATGCATTTATTTTCATGATTAAGACCTACACAAATGGTGTGTTTAATTAAAGTAGTTAACACATGAAATTGGTAAGCTTCTGAATTTATAAAACTTGGGCTTAATCTTGGTTCCACTGCTCAATAAGAACTGTGTGTCTTTGGACAATTTGCTTAATATTTTGGTGCCTCTATTCCCTCATAAATAAATGTGGGTAATAATAACATTTATTGTGATAATGCATGTAACATGCTTTGTGTAATTCTTGATAGCTGCTTAATTAACGTGAGCTCTTATAATGTCAGACAAGAGGACTAACACCTGTTGTTCACCCCCAGTTCTCAGGCCTCATCTCTGGCTGCCTTTTTCTCTGACCCACAGGCTGCAAGTGTTCTCCTCTAATGCTAAGACATAAATGGAAAGAGTATAAAGCTAAAGTTAGAATAATCCTGAATGTCCCCTTGAAATAGTAAGAAAAGGCAATAAAACATGCAACTTTTGGACAAAAGTTTTAGTGTTCATACCAGACTCCCTTCCAGGCGTCTCTGTTCTAGAGGAAAACCTTAGGAACTCAGTTACATAGAGAAATGCAAAAGGTGCATTTAGCATGGCTTTATAGTGTGTTAGTTTTCCAAAACAAGCGGCCAACTGAGAAAAATGCTAATTAATATGTTACATTTAAGTTTAATATGGGTCATATATTCATTGAGCCTAATGGTGGGAGGTAGTAGTTTGTTCAAGCCAGCTTGTGGTAGCTTGTAAGGGACAATTTGTAAATATTCAGAAAATTTGTGATCTAGCTTTTGACAGTTATGTGGTTTTTTGTTTGTTTGTTTTTGTTTTTTGCGGTATGCGGGCCTCTCACTGTTGTGGCCTCTCCCATTGTGGAGCACAGGTTCCGGACGCGCAGGCCCAGTGGCCGTAGCTCACGGGCCCAGCCGCTCTGCGGCATGTGGGATCCTCCTGGACCAGGGCACAAACCCGTGTCCCCTGCATCGGCAGGCGGACTCTCAACCACTGCGCCACCAGGGAAGCCCGACAGTTATGTTTAAAAGTTAAATTATGTAGTTACAGTTAAATTATATTCTTAAAGTGTTTTAAATTCTTAAAAGTCATCATGTCCCAACTATTTTACTACATTTCATTTTCCTCTTATTTGTGCTGTTGTCTTTATATCTCTTTCATTTCTGTAAGTGCATGTTACTATACATCTCTTCCCAACTCTGCGGTGGGCCCCATTACACCAAAGTTTAAAATCAGCCATGGTAGGAATATATATATATATATATATATATATATATATACACATATATGTGTGTATATATATATATACACATACACACCACAGAAGTCTACAAACACTACAAGTCGGGACTTGATTTTCTTTTATTTTTCTAAACTTAAGAAAAATGGAGACTGTTAATAATGGAGAATAAAGTTGACTGTTGTGTCTTTGGCCGTTAATATTATGAATACTTCCTCATACAATAACTGGTCAGCAGGGTGCGTCATAAGACCTGGCTTCTTGCCTATATTAGCATCTAATTCTGAAAGGCCATCCCTGCTCCACAGCTACCTGTAGGATTGGCTAAAGCCTCTGTTGCAGATGCATCACAGTTCAGCTTATCCTAGCAACATCTGTTTCCTTCACTCTTAGAGATGCTGTTCCCAAGGGTAACTCCAGATAAACTTATTTCATGTCAATCTCCATCTAAAAGTCTGTTTCCTGCAAAACTCAAACGAAGTTGGTGTCTCGACTGACTTGAGAAAGCAAATTATAAAATAAGATTTTGTAGCAGGCTGGCAAGGGGACCATGTCATTGTTGGTAAGTGAAATATAGATCACTCCAGTTGTATTGTCATGGTACAAATGTTAAAGCTGTGACTGGTGATGAACTTGGCTGAGATATCAGTGTAAGTATATGAATTGTCAGGTGTAGTATCTCAGAACATTGTGAGGTACAAGAGAATTAGTGATTATAAGGACCATGTAAAAATATGGCTGAGGTCAACAGATTCTTTAAAGACAGTAAAAGGCTGAAGTTAAATAATCACCAGTTTATGGCAAAATATGAAAACTAGAGGGACTAACTAAATGATAGCTTATTAAGAAATAATCATCTCCTTTAACAAGAAGACAGAAGGAAATAAGAAGCAGTCCCAGGATTTCGTTAAGAGGGTAGCAGAGTGTCAAAGTTTAAATCCTCAAATCCAGTAAATCTTTTATGCCAAGATTAAGTGTTTTATAGAGAAAATGAGAACTGTATGAGTTGGATTAGGAGCATGAGGAATGATGTCCTAAAAAATTATGAATCCTTAGATTCCCAGGAATACTTTGGATTTACCAAAGTGGCCAACTCTTCCATGTTAGTTCCCCCTTATTTAAAGACAATACAGAGTCTCTATTTTAAAATAAAACATGCCCTACCCCATTCCCACCTGCCCTCCTGACTACCAGAGGAATAACTGAGATCAAAACACAACAGAATGTGGATAAGCAAGTGCTCAGTCTGAATAAAGAAGAGACTCTGTGATGAAGAAGCTGCAGGAGTTATCCAAAATGTTCTGGCTAGAGCTATGAAACCACATGTGACACTGGCTCCTGAGGATGCTGGGAAGTAATTTAAAATTGGATAAATTCTTTGATATGGCAGCACTTTCTCAGAACGCAGGATTTAACACGCTGATGAGAATTCTGGGAAATGTGCTAATATGCTTCTAAGATGACTTTGGGAATCTTGGGGAAGCAATATTCCATGGTGAAATTGATAAGCCACAAATGCATGGCAGATGGTAGAAAAAAGGATGATAAGGTTCAGAAAAGTGGGATTATTAGAATAAATATACTAATAAAACTCATCTGCCAATTCTTTTTAATGGGAGGACCCAGAGGATATTCTGTTCACTAAAGCAATAAGGAATGCAGTGTTGAAAAGAGAGCTGGCAACCCTTAAATGTTTGTTACACCTTTTGAAATCTTTCAATAGTTCTTGGATGCTGTTTTTGTTGTTGTTAATTTTCATTTTCCTCTCTTTGCATTTCAGTTTGGGTAGTTTCTACTGACCAGTTTTAGGTCATTGATTCTTTCCTTGGTTAGGTCCAGTCTACTAATATGCACATCAAAGGCATTCTTCACTTCTGTTAAGGTATGTTTTATTTCTAGCATTTCTTTTTGAATTTTTTACTTAGAATCATCTCTTTGCTTACATTATTACTCTGTTCTTATATGTTGTCTACTTTTTCCATTATAGCCCTTAACATTGATCATAGTTATTTAAAAATCTCTGTCTGGTAATTCCAAAATCTAACATATGTGAGTCCAAATCTGATGCTTACTTTGCTGCTTCAGACTGTGATTTTTCCTTGTTTAGCATTACTTGTAATTTTTTGTTGAAAACCAGTCATGATGTATTGGATAATAGTAATGGAGGTATAAAGAAAAAAACATACTCTTATGTGTCTCCTTCACTGTCAATACTACTCTACAACTGCTTCACTTCTGACACCAGATGTGTAAGTTTTTCACACATTAAGCCAATCTGTGACACCAGATCGATGTCATACAATTTAACTCAATTCTGACACTGTCTACCTGGAGGTTAAGGACTCAGGCATACAAGATTGCCCCTGATGAAATAATATTTATATTTTATGGCAAAATTTAAACACAAAATTTTTCTTTGCCCATTTTGGCCTACTCCCTTCCCTTTAGAGTATACTGTGCATCTGCCTTAATTAGACCTCCTTAGGAGATAACATTCCTTCTTAATCTTATAAGGGGCCAGGATGACCCATGACCCACTACTTACTTTGTATGTTTAGATCTGGATTGTGTAAACTATCAATAATACGTCATTTGATGTATAACCCTTTGTCTCAAAAGCTTATATAACTGCTTTGACCTCTAATGAGCAGAACAGTCCTTAGAGCTTTCTGAAACACTGTCTCCAGGTTATAATCCGCACGTTGGCTCGCATACAATTTCCCATTTCTTTCTTAGATTGACTGCTGATTTTTCTCATTGACATCCCCCACCCCCACCCCACACTGTAGACACCAATCACAAATGCAGGTTGTTACCTGTGCTTCTGATAGACTGGAGGTTCCCATGGGCCTCTCTTGGGTTTGATTAAATTTCTACAGTGGCTCACAGAACTCAGGAAAACAATTTACTTACTAGACTACTAGGGTATTATGAAGCTCTATTAGAGGCTACAAAATAGCAGTCAGATGAAGAGCTACATAGGGCATGTTGTAGGGGAAGGATCAAAGAGCTTTCATGTGCTTTCCAGGCAGCCATACTCTCTTCATCTCCATGTGTTCATCAACCTGGAAGCTCTCTGAAACTGGTCCTTTTGGGATTTTATGGAGGCTTCATTGCATAGGCATGGCTGGTTAATTTACTGGTCATTGGTGATTGATTCAACCTCCTGCTCCTTCCCCCTTCCCTGAGGTCAAGCAGTGAGACTGAAAGTTCCAACACTCTAATATTGATTGGTTCCCCTGGCAACCAGTCCCCATCTTTCAGGGCTTTCCAAAAGTCATCCCATTAACATAAACTCAGGTGTGGTTGAAAGCAGCTTGTTATGACACCCATTTCATCTTTATGCCTCTGGATCTATTTCAGGAAAGGATGACAAAAGACCAAATATTATAAAACAGAGGTGCTTCCACTGCTCTTATTACTTTGGAAAGTCCAAGAGTTTCAGAGCTCTGTGCCAGAAATGGGGGCAAAGACCGAATATATATATATTTCTTATTACAAATTGCAATATCTCAGGAGGTAAATAGGTAGTTAGTGTGTGGTTGCATATTAATATGAATGGGAGTTCCAGTGTGCTTAATGGTTGATATAGCTGTAGGTGACGGAGGTTTCAATTTCTTCTAGTGTCCTTGTTTGTGTTGACTTTGTGCTTCCCTACTTACTACTCTTCTGAGAGATGTTGCATCTTGCAGCTATTTCTGTTGTAATTCACTGGTATTATAGCAGAGCCCTCTTAGTTTAGTGGTAAGGTGTGAGGAAATAGAAAACTTCTCTAATGTTATGATGAATATCAGTATCATAACGGGCCTGGGTCCCCGAGATGTGAACTTCACAACTGTTTCTTAGCTTCCATTCTCCCCGTCACTTCTTTAAGTGAGAAAGTGAATCTGGGTCTGGGTGGGGCTGGAGTATGAAAAATACCCTTCCCGCAGGTGGGGTAATCTCTAGTAAACTGTTTTTCAGGAGAGCAGGACTTTGTTATAGAGAATGCTCATGGATTCATTTCACAATTTCACTCTTCCTCTCCCACTGTGAGAACCAAGAGTTGATCTTTCTAGGCTCTTCACTGTGAGAAATAGGTGGGATTTCTGATCTTAAAACCCACAAAAGTATGTGAGGCTCTGTAAGACCTGATCCCCAGAAGTTTCTCACTCTCATATTAATCCACACTTAGCCTCTAGCAATTCATTAAGATTACCATTTATTTGTTCCTACCAGTTTATGGCTATAGCAGCTTTTCCTGGTAAGCAGATCTCATTTGTGACTGTCTGAATTCACTCATCTTTCCAGATTTTGAGGTGGCATCTTGCCCTGTGGGTTAAAAAATCATTGATTCTGAGTTTGTTCATCTTTTATTTGTTGTAAAGATGGAAGAAATGACCACTAAACTTTTCACATGGTGGGGCTGAAACCAGAAGTCTTTTCACACCCTTCTAATAATCAGTGTTCCAGTTAGCTGAAGTAACATTCCTTTTCTCTTTTCTTAATTATACTCATCTTCTTTGCACTCATCAGTGTCCCATTATCTAACATTCCTGTAAACAACTAGGCATCATTTTTCAGATTTAGTATTCTTCCTAGACTAAATAGTTCAAATGGAAGATGATCATTATTTCCTCTCCTTGATTAGCCTGGTCACAGGGCTCTGTTCTAGGCTTGAACAATAAGATGCTCCTGTTAGGTACTATGAATCTTGAGGCAGTGGTTCTGATACCACACCTCAGATGGGGCTCAAATACACAATCTTCCAACTGAAATCACACAACTCATCTCAGGACTTAATGAAGCTCAGGTTCTTTATGTCTTGGCACAGAAGGAATTTAATGAGCGGCAAAGTGATAGGTAAGAAGTAGATCTATTCAAAACTACAAGATTCACACTGGTCAGAACGGTCATCATTAAGAAGTCTACAAACAATAAATGCTGGAAAGGGTGTGGAGAAAACAGAACCCTCCTACACTGTTGGTGGGAATGTAAATTGGTGAAGCCACTATGGAAAACAGTATAGAGGTTTCTCAAAAAACTTAAAATAGGGTTGCCATATGACACAGCAATCCCACTCCTTGGCATGTATCCAGACAAAATTATAATTCAAAAAGATACATGCACCCCTATGTTCATAGCAGCACTATTCACAATAGCCAAGACATGGAAACAACCTAAATGTCCATCAACAGATGAATGGATAAAGAAGATGTGGTATATATATACAATGGAATATTACTCAGCCATTAAAAAAAGAAATGAAATAATGCCATTTGCAGCAACATGGGTGGACCTAGAAATTATTACACTAAGTGAAGTAAGTCAGAAAGAGGAAGACAGATACCATATGATATCACTTATATGTGGAATCTAAAATATGACACAAATGAACATACCTACGAAACAGATACAGACTCACAGATATCTAGGACATATCTGTGGTTGCCAAGGGGAAGGGGGTGGGGGAGGGAAGGACTGGGAGATTGAGATTAGCAGATGCATACTATTTTATGTAGGATGGATAAAGAACAAGGTCCTACTGTATAACATGTGGAAATATCACCAAGACTTAGTACATAACCTAATTGCAGTTTCTGCCTCTCTCAGGAGTGAAATTTTAAATAAATCACTCTGGAATTTCCCAGTCAGCCATGATGAGGTGATCTGCATGATAAGACCCCCTGTCCTTTCCCCTAAGGGAAGGTGACATTGGTTCAACAGTCTTCCCTTTTCTTTCGCTAGTAACCTCCTTGTCCAGCCCCTTTTCTATAAAAACCTTCCATTTTGTATAGTTCCATCCAGGGCCTTTCTCTTACTAGATGCGATGCTGCCTGATTCATGGATTGTTGAATAAAGTCAATTCGATCTTCAAATTTACTCAGTTGAATTTTTTTTTTTAAACAGGGGAAACATGAATATCTAAATATGTATTAAATATTTAGTGGTTTAGTATAGAATAAAGAAATAAGAGTCATGTAATGTCAAAGGGCAATGTTTTTAAAATATAATATCCAGGAGCACTATTTTATAAATCACAGTTTATATTATGTTTTAAATTAAAGTATTATTAATTATAAGTTAAAATAATTATTTATAATAAATTTTAGGTTTTACATTCAGTTTAAATTTGCCTGTGAGCTGAACTAATTCATAATAACTGAGATTACTTGAAAAGATCTAGGGAGACAAGGAGGAACTAACTGGGCTACAAGGAAAAAAGATATATTAATAGGTATTCTGCTAAATGGAAATATTCTACTGTGTGGCAGGTGGTCAGTGATTTCTTCCCTTTCTTTAGGCACTCTTTCCTGTGTCATCCCACTAGGATTTTACCTGCACACATACCCACATATATATGTGATATGGTTGTGTGCCTAAATCCATAAGATTATCAAATGAAATGAGAATGGTTATTAAGAAATAGACGTTCAATAGATAGTAAGATATGAAACTATATGTCACAAGTTAGCGATTAAAAAGGAATAGGATTCATAGTTACATGGAAATGAGAATAAAGTTATACAACACAGCAGTTGTGCAAGAGGATCGGCGGTCACTTTGAAGATCAGAAATTTTGCCATAAATTAAAATTCACAGACATGATGAGCATTTCTGCAAAATTAGTTGAGTTGACTTCAGTGTAACGAAATCCTCTTTAGAAAAGGTGTAAATCTTCACACAATCTTTCTATCAATGTTCTTATAGGTATCTCTTAAATTGTCATTGTTGTCAGTGATAATGGTGTGTTAATGGGTAGAGAAACTTGATAGAGAAAGGTTATGGGAAAAATAGTTACTGTTTTTTGCATCTCCAAATTTATAACTTGTGAAAGATCATATATGTTACATAAATGTTTGTATGCTTTTTATTGAAGCCCCAAATCACAATGTTCAGTCAAAGCAGTTTATTACAAAGAAAATAATACTTTTGGAATTTTAAGTTTAAGCCAATTTAAAAATTTAATTTCATTTAACTCGCATTGTTTCCCAACCCATCAACATATCTTTCCAGTTCATTATTTTTTTACACATTTTCCAATTTTCAAAGCTTATCTTCAAGTCTCACAGTCAACACCTCCAGCAGTGAGTAAGTCTTAGAGTCTACGCCCACCTCAGCCATTAAATATCTCTAATTTTAGCAAAATTCCCTCAAGTGATTTTCTTGCCCCCACTTTCTCACTCTTGTAAACATATTCAAATATTTCATCTCATTAATTTTCTCAAAGCTTTTTTTTTTTTAATGCAGTGCTCTCGTTAAGCCTTTCCAACTGCTTTCATTGCCAAGAGAATAGTCTTTGACAATTTTACATTGACCTATCTTTACCAGTCTAAAACGGATCCAAAAGTTATTACTTATAATCCTGAGACCCAGTTGCTGATTTCTTTTTTCTTTTGTGCCTTTATATTATTCTCTCATTTCTAGGATAAGCTACCCCCTTACATCTGTTCATAAAATTATACAAATTTGACTAGGAGTGATCTGATATCATTTTTCTCTTCTACTTGAAATCTTTCTTACCTTTTGCCTTGTCTGGTATTCTTGATCTCACCTTTTATTGCAATCCCCCTATGTCTTTATAAATATCTTTGTGTGAATCAGTACTTAGCAAAAGCAGTAAAAATTTTCATATCATAGCTGTCAGTTACATATTTGGTGAGTGACTATTGAATAAATAAAGGGTCAAAGAAGACGCAACAGAAAAAATAGTAATTAGTAATAGTAATGGTAATTAGGTTAGTAAGGAAAACAAATAAATCCTGCAAGTTGAAATAAAACATTTTTATTATTTTCTGTGTTCCATTAGCATTGTTCTCCTCTATCTTTAAATGATGCTATCCTTGATTTCTCTTAAAAGCCAGATTTTCTTCTGACCCTCCAAAATTAAGGACATCTGTTTCAACTTCCCCTATAGTCAGGCTTTGTAGTAAGATGATAATAATTAATAAACTCTGGGTCTCACACAGCAAACTTCTCTAAAAGCTGCAACTTTGTAGAACTTTGAAAATACAATGCATTATTGACCTGATTGTCTAATACCCAACAGATTACTTTTTCAAGGGCTTAGTTCCCACATTATCTTTTGATGTTCCTGCGGAAGAGGTGAGTACTTGTAACACCAGCAGCCTAATTAGGAACACTCCTGTCACTAGGGGATAGTACAGACCTTCTTCATGCTCAATCATCATGTCCTGAAATATACAGGGTGGGGTAATGCATCTTATAAATGTCAATTTATTTAGGTTCTAATCACAGATACTTCATCAACTGACAAAAGAAAAACCTCAGTAGGTACACTACTTCAAAATCTGGGACAACTTACATGTAATTTCAGGAATCAGCAGGGACACACAGCTGGAGAAAAATAAAAAGCTTGCTGTAATTGAAAATTGTCTTGCAGCTTGTTTCTGATTAAAATGAAGTTTAGTTCCTTGAAATCTTGTTTAGCAATTAAATCTGTTTTACTTAGGCATTGAAATATTGTCTATTGTCCTGGAATGATCAAACTGGTACAGACATGTCTTAGTATCAGATGCTCCATGAAAATGTGAATTTAAGAAAATGTAGCCAAATTGATCACCACAAGCAGAAGGCTGTCTTTCAGAGTAGTGACAGCAATAAGCAGCTCAGTTAAATTATCCATCTCACTTGAAAATTCAGAATTAAATTGAATCATTATATTAGCAAGAAAGTTAATAATGATAAAGCTGAGTATCATACCTGGAAATGAATCATCTCAAGGCCATGCGGTCTATACACACGCTTCTTTCGTTCAAGCTTTTCTAGTTCACTAATTTCCCTTGTGGGTCTGTTATGCTGGTATATGCAAATAAATTTGTTGTTAATAAAATCTATTATCCTCAACTAGGCTCCAAATTTCATTGTTTCCCAACACCTGCCTCAAATAAATAAAACATAGGGAAGGAAATATTTCCTGATCTTCTAGAAAGACTTCATTCTCAGCAACTAAATAACAAAATGAAATTTATTTGATTCACTTTGCAGCTCTGGGAACCTGAAATCATCCTCCAGCTTCTTGGGAATATGGTTTTTGACAGCTTTGTCTTTTAGTTGATATTTTTCACTGTTGAAAGGCTTATGTACATTTTCCTCCACTTTAATCTGTTTTCCCATAGAGAATGTAATAAATTCCCCTGCAAATATTTTCATGTCTGTGTATCTCTCTTGGTAGGCTGTTTACATTAAGGCTCTTGTATAAGTTAGATTAGTTCACCTCAGTAGCTACAGCTTCATTATTAACACAGCCTGTGTGGCATAGTTCAAAATCTTTCAAAGAGAAATTTTATATAATCACTGCTACTCTAAAGAACATCAATACATTTCAGAAAGAAAGAAGAGAATGCTTTTAGATTGGGTCTTAATAGGTGGATTAGTGTGGTCTTGTTTCACAGAAACTTTTTGAAACATTTCCCCTCTCCCCAAAGGAAGGTTTCTGTCTGATTATTATTTTTGATATATTTGATTATAGATCATAAGTGACCTAGCCTTGCCTTCTGAACTACAACTGTCTGCCTGTGTTTGCTGGGATGCTCACCTGAAAATGCTAGTTATAATGCTTTGTAGATGAAAGATATAAATATATAAAACATAAAGACACCCAGGAAATGGATAATTCACAGTGGTTCCTACACTTGAAAAGGATCACATGCATCGAGAGAGAGGTAAAGCAGAGTCTTAAGGTTAAAATGTTTGCTACATTTATGTTTCCTCTCTTTAACATAAAAGATATTAGTATGTTCTTATCCACTCCCTCTCTGCCTGATACAATAATAGTTGCATTCATATTAGAAGGAACTGGATGTTTTTCAAACCTTTTTGCTTCTGCACCCCTTAAAATAATCCTGAGAAAATATGTAGCCATAGCACATTTTGAATTGAAATCTAAATATTTTATCATAACTGTAGATTTTTCATAAAACATAATGTACATTTTTATGTGCTTCAAATATATTTTCATCAAATCTTAGAACTGTGAATTTTCTTTTTATAGACAACGACCACTGTAATCTAATTAGAAAAACTAATTCGTAAAGTCAATCAGTCAAAGCAAACTTTATGGCAGAAAAACGTCTGATTTGATTTTTTATTTCTTAAAAGCCTGTTAATGCATGCTTCCATGATTCATCTCACTTCCTCTGAATTTCTATAATAGAATACTAGATAGGTTCAACAGGAAATTTGCTAAGAGTTTATATCGGGGGTGAAATAAGGCACTGACCCCCTCAATATGCCTTGTTTTGCTCTTACTAGACCCTCAATCAGATGCAAGATATGGCTAGGATGGCTCTGTAATGTGATTCAAGATGGAAAATTTGTCTTAATTTTGCAGAGTGAGAACAGACAGGTCATGGTAAAAAGAAATATTGGAAAGCAGAGCCAAGAGACCGTAGGTTTTTTGAAGTAGGAAGCTGGATATCTGAAAAATAATTTCCTAAAGATTATTTACATGTGTATATCTCCTAGAGAGATTTTAAATATTCACAGGAGTATATACATCTCAGTTTGTCTTTGAAGACTCTTTCTTGGGACATCACATAATCAGACTCCTCAGCTTTTAGGTGAGAAAATAAGGCTGAAAATCAATGAATTAACTGTACCAAAAATTGTGTTTCCCTTTATAGTCTGCAAAGCTAGTCCTTGTTACAGTCGGCAAAACTAGTCCTTATATTGTTTTCTTCTTGAAATTTTCCTTATCTGACTCTACCATATGCATATCATTTATTGTCTATGGAACCATTATTTACTTGTTCAAAAACTCAATGGACCACTGTAATTGAGGACTTGAGAGAGAGGTACCTGGACTTGTGGGCTCTCAAACCTAGGTTTAGACAGTTTGCATTATATCATTTATGATCAAGGAATAAAGTCTAGGATCATGTGACCTTCAGGGGTATTGAAATATATTCAAAAGTATATGGTTGCTGTCTATGCAATCTATCTAGATTAATACTGAATGAATTGTCTACTTTGGGTATGTTTTGTATGTATAAATGTATTTAAATTTCTTAAAGTACAGGATTGGCTATTCTTCCCTCTGATTATCTCATCAAATAGCTTAGCAGAGTGGTTTGCAAGTAAAAGACGCAATAAATTTTAACTGACTTGCTTTAATAATCTTAAAGTTATAGGCCGAATGGTAATTGCCAACAGGGAAATCTCATGCCAAGATATTTAATTAAAATGATGATTATAATCCATGTAAACAAAACATATGGTTAAAATTAAATAGGAGGTGGATACCACAGAGCAAAAATAAACTGTATTTGCATGCATTTTTCCCATTTATAAAAGGTATTTATTTGAAACCGAGCAGGGAATCATGGTACCTCCAACTAGTTGCAAAAACATGAACAAATTCCTTACATCCTCCCTTCTAAATTTCAACATCAATAAAATGTTTAAAAAATTGACTTGATGACAGACAAAATTATTTCTCTTTCTATGTCTCATGGTTTTCCATGACTTTTTCTACAAAGGAGACACACACCTCCATGTTTTTACTAAAGCATGTTTTGACTTTTATATAATTTACCTAATCACGTTTTCCTATAATAATTAATACTTTTTAACTCCTACTTTACAAAAGAAAAGTGATTATTGTCTGTCATATCCAAGGCTCTATGATTATCATTTATTCAATCAATCATTCAAAAAAAACAAAATTATGTGACTTACCATGAACTGGGGATACATTAATAGCCAAGACAGACCTGGTTCCTGATGCTTATGAAGACATGGCATGTCCTGGGCAAACAAACAAATATAGTATTACAATAAAATGTGATAAATGTTCATATAACTGAAGAAATGTGTCACAAAAAAAATCTGGCTTTTTTTTAAGTCAATGCCATCTGACAGAATCTCCTTATCCTTATTATTATCCATGGATTTCCAGGGCACTTGTACTACCCTCAAAGATTGAAGCACTTATTTTATTATAATTTACTCTATCAATCCATGACCTTCTACTCAGTGATATATACATCCATATCAAAGACTATTATCTTGGTGTGTGTTCCACTCAGTTCTCTGACAAACTAACATTTATGAGGCCTCAAATATTCTTGGGTTTGTTCTAATTGTAAGATTTCAATTACAAACTGTTTTCTATTTGCCAGGCATTCTGCTTTGTTTTTAACATATATTAATTTATGTAATCCTCACAACAAATCAATGAGGTTGTTGTGGGTTGACTTGTGTCCCCTCAAAAAGATCTGTGGGAATCGTAAAGCTCAGTACGTCAGAATATGACCTTATTTGGAAAAAGGTCTTTACAGAGTCTATCAAGTTAAAATAAGGTCATTAGAGTGGGCCCTAATCCAATGTGTCTGGTGTCCTTATAAAAAGGAGAAATTTGAACACAGAGACATTCACAGAGGGAAAATAGTGTAAGGAGACAGGGAGAACATGACCATTTAGAAACCAAAAATGCCTGAGGCTACCAGAATTTAGGAGAGAGGCAGGAACCAACCCTCTCCTAGTGCCTTCAGAGGGAGCATGGTCTTGCCAACATCTTGATCTCAGACTTCTGGTCTTCAGAACTGTGTGAAAACAAATGTCTGTATGTTCCAAGCCACCCAGTTTGTGGTATTTTGTCATGACAGAAAGCTAATAAAAGGTAGTATGTAGTAAAGAATTAACCTGTCCAAGGTGAGGTCTGTCCTTTGCCCACAATTCCTGGAAGATGATCTTTAAACTCTTGAAATATCTTGCCTGATAAGAAGTATCTTTGTTTACTTGGGAGCCTTGGGTCATGACAGATAACTTATGCTAGTAATATGATTTATGGGGGCCCTTTAGGCCCCACAATATCAGCTCAATCTCTTGAAGACCTGGAAACTAAGGTCAGCTATGTGAGCAGTCAACCATGTCTACACAGGAATACCTTGGAGATATAGTGGGTTCAGCTCCAGACCACCACCATAAAGTGAATATTGCAATAAAGTGAGTCACATGAATTTTTTGGTTTCCCAGTGCCTATAAAAGTTATGTCTACACTATACTGTAGTCTATTAAGTGTGCAATATTATTATGTCTTAAAAAAACAAGGTACATGTCTTAATTAAAAAATACTTTATTGTTAAAAAATGCTAACCATCACCTGAGCCTTCAGTGAGTTGTAATCTTTTTGCTGGTGGGGGGTTTGAAATATTGTGAGAATTACCAAAATGTGACACGGAGACATGAACTGAACAAATGCTGTTTAAAAAGACATGTTCAACTCATGGTTGCCACAAACCTTTAATTTGTAGTAAAAGTAGTATCTGCAAATTGCAATAAAGCAAGGTATGCCTGTATTACTGAGCACCAGTAAAAACACAGGACATCAAGACTCAGGTGAGCTTTCCTGAGAACACTGGCAATACTCTGTGAATACTGTCACACATTAGGATGGGAGGAGTTAGTGCTATTTATTTATTTATTTATTTTTTTAAACGTCTTTATTGGGGTATAATTGCTTTACAATGGTGTGTTAGTTTCTGCTTTATAACAAAGTGAATCAGTTATACATATACATATGTTCCCATATGTCTTCCCTCTTGCGTCTCCCTCCCTCCCACTCTCCCTATCCCACCCCTCCAGGCTGTCACAAAGCACCAAGCTAATATCCCTGTGCCTTGCGGCTGCTTCCCACTAGCTATCTACCTTACTACGTTTGTTAGTGTGTATATGTCCATGACTCTCTCTCGCCCTGTCAAAGCTCACCCCTCCTCCTCCCCATATCCTCAAGTCGGTTCTCCAGTAGGTCTGCGTCTTTATTCCTGTCTTACCCCTAGGTTCTTCATGACATTTTTTTCCCCTTAAATTCCATATATATGTGTTAGCATACGGTATTTGTCTTTTTCTTTCTGACTTACTTCACTCTGTATGACAGACTCTAGGTCTATCCATCTCATTACAAATAGCTCAATTTCATTTCTTTTTAAGGCTGAGTAATATTCCATTGTATATATGTGCCACATTTTCTTTATCCATTCATCCGATGATGGGCGCTTAGGTTGTTTCCATCTCCGGGCTATTGTAAATAGAGCTGCAATGAACATTTTGGTACATGACTCTTTTTGAATTTTGGTTTTCTCAGGGTATATGCCCAGTAGTGGGATTGCTGGGTCATATGGTAATTCTATTTGTAGTTTTTTAAGGGGAGAGAACAGGAAGCTTCACACTGGGAACTCTTCCTGGACTTTGCCACTCATACACATTCCCTGGGTTGATGTAAATCTGTATCATTTTGCTATAAAAAAAACATAACTATGAGTATAACAGCTTTCAATGAGTTCTGTTCAACCCTCTAGTGAATTATTAAACAAGAGGGTGGTTTCGCAAACCATTAATCTTGTAATAGTTTCAGAAGTGAGGGTGGCCTTAGAGATTTCCTGAAATCTACAGATAGACCCTATACTATGTTGGCTTTTTTATAATACTGGGTGAAGAAAGATTCCAGAGGATCTTCTCATTGGACTAAATCAGGAATCAGCAAATACAGGACAAATAAGACCTTCTGGCTGTTTTTGTAAATGCAATTTTATTGCCACAAACCACAGGCATTCATTTACATATTGACAGTGACTGCTTTTGCATTACAATGACAGTTTAGTGAGAACACAGAATTTATGGCTCTCAAAGCCTAAAATATACACTATCTAACCCCTTGCATATATAAGTTTGCCTGCCACTGCAGTAAATCATAGTATTCTATATGATTGTGTATAGATCTATGAAGGATCTGACATACAGTTACAGAAATTCAGGACAGCATCCCTTAGTACCACAACCAGTTTACTGATGCCATTATTATTTGCATCAGTATCTACCCTTATATTTGTGCCTCAGTCCACAGAGATAACTTAATAAATGTCACATTGATTTCAAGAAAATCTTATTAGGGTTTTATCTACGGAATAAAGTTGTTAATTATTTCCATGTCATACAAAGCTCTTCATGATTTGGGTCCAGACTTCCTTTTTAATATCTTCTACAGATACTTTCATCCATGTGTCCTCTGATTTCATGCCACTTACCATGGCATGAAATTTCAAGACAACCCCTGTGCCTTTGTCCATATTGATCCCTTATCATGGAATTTCCTTTTCCTTCTTTTCTTTCTAATTATAACTCATCTTTCAAGGCTGAGCTGAAATGCCCTACTTCTTGAATTTTTTACATCCCTTCCAGTATGAATTATTCACTACTTCCTTCAAACTTTGATAACTTTTATATGTCAACAAAACTCATCACAGATTTTTCAATAGTATTACAGATGCTTAAAATGTGTGATGAATGGTTGAATTACACTCAAGGAAGATCTTCTGAAAGATATACAAGTAAGTACTCATCTAAGTCTCATATCCTGTGACTTAAAAATTTAATGGAAGATTAAAATTTATTTCTTTCAGCTCTGAATCTTAGTCATTTGTATTACCTCTCTTCTAGTAGCAGCACTGATTGCTGTGACTTTGTCTTATATTTTTAATATGTCACAAGACTTATCAGAGTATTTGATAATATGGCAATTGCTTAAAATTCATGATGAACTGATGAATAGTCATCATCACTTTAGTGTTCTTGTATCATGCCCTTTGTTCTTTGTGATGAAACCATTGGCTATTATCCTCTATCCTAATGCATCAAACTTTATTTCCTCCCTATTTTCTTTAGACCAATTTTAACATAAAATCCCAGCTGCTATTCATACTTTATCTATGTTGTAGTACATCAAGCAGAGAGATAGAGTTGTCTTTTTTATGACCAACTAGTTTTCTTTAACTAGAAAGAGGTGATGAAGTTGTACACAGAAGATAGAATACATATATTTGGTATTTGTAATAGCTGGCCTTTTAAATTGTTTGGCATTTTTATTCTTCTTTTATTTACTCCAAGTCCTAATCTCTAATGCAGCTGTGACAAACTTCCCACTAGCCTCAAACAGCCTATTTCTTTCTCCTCACCTCTTCATACACACTCAGAAGATGGATTCATCTATTGCTGAAAATATTTATGTCAAATAAATGAATCTCCTCATGGGATTATTATTCCAAACTGTAAGTCTTTAAAAGTCAAGTATATAAATAAAGTTAATGTGATAATTTTACACAGAAAACTTACCCAGGTAAGTTGCCCAATGCGGATGTAGACAAAGGACAAACTCTATGTGTACTTGTTTTTCTCTAATTTGTGAGCTTTCTTGAGGAGAAAAACCCTACTAAAATTTTATATTAAATTTCAGTAATTTAAATAGGTCTGTTAATATGATAGTGCATTAGTCATAGATGGTCAAGTACATGTGTCTGAGCCTGCTTTAAATATTCTGTTAAACATGATTTCAATAAAAGATATTACCTCAATATTCACCATAATATGAAAAGGGAACTGAAAAGATTCATACAAGCATAAAGATATAACTGATAAAATAAGAATTGGATCAAGAAATAACACAATATTTTATAAGAAAGTAGATACAGCCAAGTAGCTACAATTCTTTGATGTGCTTTTCTCCTATGAAAAAGTCTGACAGACCAAAGCAACATCACCTATTATGAGTTAATCCAAGGCCAATCTTGAGGTCATCCTCCCGCACTGGGTAACTGGGCTAATGGAATGAATTGAATTTATGTATTCAATAAAATTTATTATTTACACATTTATTACCACACATAAATTTCTCTTACTTAAAGGAATATAATATAAAATATGGCACTTACATTCCTGTGACAGAAAGGGATAAGCCTCCCATTTAGTGCTAA